ATTTTTGTCGCAGTCATAATTTTATAGCCCATAAATGATTATAATTTACAATTTACATAATTATGTTGTCCTTGTCATATTGTGTATATATTGTTTGTTCGAAAACTTGTAAGGTGAAATAGCGGTAGGATCTTACAGCAGATAAAATGAAATTTTGTTGGGTCTTAAATTTGTGTATTGACCTTTTGACGGAAAGCACAAAAGTAAGTGCCCCATGAATGATAATAATTTTGCAGTATTTAGGCAATATTTTTGAATGTGTAAGGAAAAAAATGTATAATTTTGATAAGCCTTATGTTAAAATAAATTTATACGGTTTTAATATGCTTCACTTTGTTTTTTGCTTGGTATTAATTTTTTTCCTCGTGATAATATAATGTAATTTTTACTAAGATACCCAATATGACTAATGACTATATTCCTAATATTTCCGTTGGTTAAAAAGAGAACAGTGTCACCAGAGACGTTACATTTATTTCTCAATGCCAGCGAACATTCGAGACTACTTGTAGAAAAGTACCTGAACTTGACACGGCCACTGTACTTTGATTATACGCACCTCAAACTGCAGGACTGCAGTTGACGGTAAATATCAAATCTCTTGATGGATGTTGAAATCATTCAACTGCCAGAGTTGTCAGAAAGAGGTGGCTCAAGGCAAAAATGACTGCCTGTAAATGCATCATAATTATGCCGCAACAAAAAGTAGAAAATAGTGTTAGTTGTATGTAATGAAATAAGACAATTTTTAGTGTGCTAAATTTATTATGCACTTTGTCCTATTTTAGTATTTTCATAATATTGAACATTGGTAAAAATGCTAGAATTCAGGAGTTTCTTTTTATCTTAAGAATGATGTTAAACTTTTTATAAAAGACACATTTTGCCTAAGTAATGAATAAAACTTTCCTTGTTTATTAATGGAAAAAACACGAGTATTATTTTAAATGCTTTAGATGGATTTAGAACATGAATTGCTTATTACTTAAAAAAATTACGGCTGAATTTTGTAGTATTTGCCATAACAGTAGTATAATGTAAAAAAAATAGTTTGAATTCCATATAAAAAACTTAATCACTTTAACTTTTCTTATTCCCAGAAAGCAATAGAAGTAAACTGGTAATAAGCAATTAAGTAACCTTTTGGAAACAGTTACAGGAACCAGAAAACAAATTATTTAATAATAAAAATAATATCATTTTTAGGTATAATGGGCCCTTAAATATTTCCATTGTTTTTTACAACCGATTGGGTAATTGTAGTCAGTTTCACAGAATTTATCAGCATATTATCAGATTTATCTGTTATTAATGTTGTTCTTTTAAATCAATCTTGTAGGTGACACAGATGACAGGGAGGCTGATCTGAGTCACCCAGTGCATTCTGACAACTGTATGATACAGCCAGATGGTTCCTGCATTTCTGATGCCTTTGCATATGTACAGAGACACTACAGGTAATTCTTACACTGAAATTTTCCATTATGTAATCAAAGGTTTGAAGTGCGCTCTTTTTTAAAACAATGCACCATCCACCTTAATTCTAACACTATCTAAGATTTTCCTAAATAAACAAAGTAGTTGTAAAGCTTGCATTATTTCATCACCATGCACTAGCCATTTTTACAAATGAAAATAAGCATGGATGGATCTAGAGCTGTGCTTATTTAAAACTAAATGAGATATTTTAATCTTTTACGACATTAAATATGATAAATGGACTTGTCCATCTTTAAACCATTCACAATTTTTAGGAAATTTCTTACTCATTACAGAATAAGTAATAGGACAGACCATAATAAGACAGCAAGTTAAGGGCTGCTGGTCTTGGTCTTCACTGCTCCTAGGGGTAGAGTATGCCACGGTCAGCAGACTGGGGGGATAAATAAATTGAAAGCTTGTATATTACTAGTAATTATTTTAGAATGTTAATTTACATTCATTATGTTTCTTTCATTGCAGTGGAGTTCTATATCTGAATGACAACTTTGAAGGGGGACAATTCTTCTTTGCTCACAAAAACAAATCTGAGCAGGTGAGCAATACCATAGAGTAGCTAGATATAAATGATGATAATTCTTGGGGAAAATATAATGATACTTCACAGGGAAAAATGATGATAATTCTAGGAAAAAAATGATGAGAATTCTAGGAAAAATTGATGATAATTCTAGGAAAAATGATAAAAATTCTAGGAAAATGATGAGAATTCTAGGAAAATGATAAGAATTCTAGGAAAATTATGAAAATCATTTTTCTCATATGAAAATGATAAGAATTCTAGGAAAATGATAAGAATTCTAGGAAAATGATAAGAATTCTAGGAAAATGATGAGAATTCTAGGAAAATGATAAGAATTCTAGGAAAATGATGAAACTCATTTTTCTGATATGAAAATGATAAGAATTCTAGGAAAATGATGAGAATTCTACGAAAATGATGAGAATTCTAGGAAAAAATGATGATAATTCAGGGGGAAATGATGAGAATTCTAGGAAAAAATGATGATAATTCTAGGAAAATGATAAGAATTCTAGGAAAATGATGAAAATCATTTTTCTCATATGAAAATGATAAGAATTCTAGGAAAATTATGAGAATTCTAGGAAAAATTGATGAGAATTCAGGGAAAAATGATGAGAATTCTAGGAAAAAATGATGATAATTCTAGGAAAAAAATCATTTTCCTTATATGACTCACATATTTGCAGCTAGGTTTTCAGTTACTGCTGCACAATTTAGGTTATTGTAACGTTTCAGCTTTATTGTTGAGCGTAATCTTCAAATAGATTATTTCCAATTTTCGTATGTGGCATAATATGAAACTCAAACTTTTCAGCTAGAGGAAGTGATCTGAATTTGACAACGTATGAATTAAGATAATCGGCAATACTTGTTATTTAAATCATTTATGCATTAAGATATAATTTCCCTTTAACTTGGTTCTTTGTTGCAAATAAAGAACAAAAGCATTTTGGTTGAATTGAAGGGACATTGTTTGTTCCCATTTTACATGTCTGGTTCCTATATTTCTTATCTTGTTCCAATGTAACATATCTTGTTTACAATTTATGTATTCAGTTTTTGTGTTCCATACCTTGTTCCAATTTTACATATGGTGTTCCTGTGTTCCATACCTTGTTCCAATTTTACATATGGTGTTCCTGTGTTACATATCTTCTTCCTATTTTACACATATTGGTCCCATTTTGCTTATCTTTTCCCAATTAAATAATTATCTTGTTCCTTATGAAATCCCTTAAACATTAGACTGTTCTTAAAAAAGAGGCGTCCGTGGCCAAGTGGTTAAGGTCGTTGACTTCAAACAACTTGCCCCTCACCGCTGTGGGTTCGAGTCCCGACAGGGACTTTGGATTCTTTCATGTGAGGAAGCTATCCAGCTAGCTTACGGAACGTCGGTGATTCTACTCAGTAGCCCGTTTGTGCCTGACATAATGCACAGAAGGGCACCTGAGGTCTTCCTCCACCAGTAAAGCTGGAACGTCGCGATATGACCTATACTGTGTCGATGTGAGGTAAAACCCAAAACAAATCAAAAAGAATTATTAAAAAAAACGATAATTTCATTTGTTGAGTGGGATGTAAATCCTTTGTTATTTTCAGATATCAGTGAAACCTATATGTGGAAGACTTGTGGCCTTCAACGCTGGTGATTATCACGGTGTAAAAGCTGTAGTGAAGGGGCAGAGATGTGCTATAGCCATGTGGTTTACTCACGATCCAAATTTTGTTGAAGTTTCTCGGTTACATGCTCATCGTTCATTAGAAATTTTGCCAAAGTTAAAAAAGAAAACGGACGATCCATTGACAGAAGATGTGACAAATGTTGATATTGAAAGTGAAATTATTGACGTTACAACTGATTTAGAAAGTTCAATTAGATGAAAACCATGATGAATTGTGATTTGGAAGAGTTTATTGGATTGAAAATTCTATTAATTAATCGTAGGAAACAGTTCTTAGAAGCAATCCAAATTATCATGTAGTTCATTTATGGGGTATGATTGGGATAGTTTATTGGATTGAAAATTATATTGAATTATCGTCGAGGATAGTTCTTTAGATGGTATCCATGATTCACTATTATTGGGAGGAGTGTATTGAATCAAAAGTAAAGCCCTTTCAGCCAAATATTGCTTCTGCATAGCTAAAAATATTTTGTAAAATATGACATATGTTTATATGAATTGTTTGTATGAATTAATTATATAGATAACTGTGATATATCCATTTATCCAGCCAAAATAAGTATGCTTAAAGCATTATTATTTTTACTATGCATTTTTAGCTTGACTCTTCGAAGAATAGGGAGATATTTTTTGAAAGGCAGGCATGCATCAGCATAACACTTTGGTTAAGAATTTTTGCATGGATGTTGGAATCTCCAAAACTAGTGAAAGGAATGGTTTGAAACTTCATAAACTTATTTGATAGCACAATAACAGGTCAATGTCCAAAGTCCATAACATTAACATTGATTTAGACTGAGTTATTGCCCTTTTTGAAATTTTACACTACCCAGGCTCTTGTTTTGCTATCAGGCACTGAGAATAGTCAAGCATTCTGTCGTACTGACAGCTCTCGTTTTCTATTGTCGTAAAAATAATAATGTGCTTGCACAGTATGTCATACTAACCTTTTAGTTCATTATTTAGCTCTCCTGAGCTTCATTTATGTGTTTTCATACTTTAATTATTAAACAGATAATTTTGCCACTTTGTTGTTAGCCTCTGAGATATTATACTATATTTTAATTTTGTTATTTTTTCATAAAAGAGAAATGCTTATGTCAAGGGCTGTAACTCTTTTTTGTATTTTATCATAATAATATACTTTTCTACTTTTGTACTGGAAAATTTTTATTGAATTAAAATGTTATAACATATGAGTCATAGCTATGTTGCTACATTTTGCCAAAATAATGTGACCTGTTATATTTTTATCACATTGTTTAACTATACTTGTTTAGCTATTGTACATTGATTAAGTGTATACATATTGAACTATTGTACATTGATAAACAATATATGTTTAACTATTATACATGTACATGCTCAGGCTTGTTTTCCTTTTTTGACATACATTATTTTCTCCCTCATTTTTCTTTTGGATGTTATCTAACATAATACATTCAAACAGTAGAAGAGTACTGTAATTTATTATCATAGAACAAGAGAAATTTGATAATATGTTTCTGTGGATATATACTATCATAATTGTTTTATGTTTATAGGTATTTATGCTGATAGTTTTATAGATTTTTTTATATTCTGAAATTGCTTTTATGCTTTATACTTATATATAGGTTCTTATGCTGATTTTGGTTTTATGCTAGGGCGTCCATGGCCGAGTGCTTAAGGTTGTTGACTTCAAACCACTTGCCCCTCACCGCTGTGGATTCGAATCCCGACAGGGACTTTGGATTCTTTCATGTGAGGAAGCTATCCAGCTTGCTTACAGAACGTCAGTGGTTCTACTCGGGTGCCCATTCGTGCCTGAAATAATGCACGGAAGGGCACCTGAGGTCTTCCTCCACCAGTAAAGCTGAAACGTCGCAATATGACCTATACTGTGTCGATGTGACGTAAAACCCAAAACAAAAATATTGGTTTTATGCTGATTTAATGATAGTTTTTTATGCTAATAGGTTTTCAAGCTAATATTGATTTTATGCTTATATGTTTTCTTTATGCTAATAATCAAAAGGTTTTCATGCTGAAGTTGGTTTTATGCTGATAAATTGAAAAAAATTTATTCCAATATATTTTCATACTGAAAATGGTTTTATGCTGATTGATTTTTTATGCTTATCGGTTTTATGTTGAAGCAAAAATTTATTTTATACATTTTAAGGAATCTCATGTGTGTATTCATTGTTCATGTTTTTATGCCACCGCAGCATCTGCGATGCGGTGGCATATAGCGATTCACCTGTGTGTGTGTGCGTGTGTTTGTGTGTGTGTTTGTGTGTGTGTTATATAGATTATATAGTGAACTTAAAAAATCTTCTTGTGAAAAACCACTAGTCCAATTTCATTCAAACTTGGCAGGATTGTTCCTTGGGTGAAGGGCTTCCAAAGTTGTTCAAAGAATTTCATTCCATGCAGAAATCTGGTTGCCATGGCAACCAAAAGGAATTATAAGAATAAATTTAAAAAAACTTCTTGTAAAGACCCAACAGGCCTAGAGCTTAGATATTTTGCATAAGGCATTGTCTGGTAGACCTCTAACAAGATTGTTCAAATTTTAGCCCTGGGGTCAAAATTGGCCCCGCCCCGGGGGCCATTGATTTTCACTATGTACATATAGGAAAAACTTAAAATACCTTCTTGTAAAAACCCAAAAGGCCTAGAGCTTAGATATTTTGCATAAGGCATCGTCTGGTAAACCCTTACCAAGATTGTTCAAATTATAGCCCTGGGGTCAAAATCGGCCCGCTGCCCTGGGTTCATTGATTTTCACTAAATGTACATATAGTAAAAACGCCTTCTTGTAAAGACCCAAATGGCCTAGAGCTTAGATATTTTGCATAAGGCATTGTCTGGTAGACCACTACCCAGATTGTTCAAATTATAGCCCTGGGGTCAGTCAAAATCGGCCCCGCCCCGGGGGTCATTGGTTTTCCTTATATGTATATAGTAAAGACTTATAGTAAAAACTTAAAAAAAAATTCTTCTAGCAATTGACAAATGCTAGAGGTTAGATATTTTGCATGAAACATTGTGTAGTAAACCTCTAGCAAGATTGTTCAAATTATAGCCCTGGGGTCAAAATTGCCCCCACCCTGGGGGTCATTGATTTCAATATATACATATAGTAAAAAATAAAAAAATCTTATTGTCTGAAGGTACAAGGCTTAGAGCTTTAATATTTGATTAATAATATCATCTAAAGGTACTCTACAAAAGTTATTCAAATTTTGCCTCTTGTGTCAAAATAACCCCCGCCCCCAGGGGGCCATAGGTTTTCCTTATATGTATATAGTAAAACCTTAAAAAAGTCATCTTCTCTAAATTTACAAAGGCTAGAGTTAAGATATTTTGCATGAAACATTGTGTAGTGAACCTCTTGCAAGATTGTTCAAATTATAGCCCTGGGGTCAAAATTGGTTCCGCCCTGGGGGTCATTGATTTTCATTATGTACATATAGTGAAAAAATAAAAAATATTTTGTCTGAAGGTACAAGGCATAGAGATTTGATGTTTGATATAGAATATCATATATAGGTCCTCTACCAAAGTTGTTCAAATTTTTCCTCTGGTGTCAAAATTGGCCCTGCCCGGGGGCAGTGCACATAGTAAAAACAGAAAATAAAACAAATGTTTTCAGAATGGGAGAAAGCTATAGCTTAGACATTTGACTTGAAATGTTGTTTGGTGTCCTGTATCAAGATTGTTTTGATTAAACCCTTGGGTCAAAATTTTGCCTTGCTCAAGGGGACAGTGATCTACTTTCTTGTCCTTTGATGTACAGCAATGACATTTTGACCATGTGCACAGTTTTAGTTGTAAAATTGAACTTTTGATATCAGGTGACCTAGATTTGATGATGTGACCTACTTTCTTGTCCTTGATGTACAGCTATGAAAATTTGAACCGTGCGGTGGCATAGCATTTTTCTCAAATGCAATCTTGTTTACCATTGGTAAAGTTTTTCTTATCTTTTGTCATCATATTTTTTCATTAAGTTGTAATGTTAAAGCAGCGTGCCCCCAGGTTCATGCTCAGTTTCATTAACATTTTGATTTTTTTTTAAAGTAAAACATTGTGAAGTGAACAAAGAAAGTAAAATACACTTTGCAAACGGCACTTAACAAATCCACGTAAATTACCAAAAAGAACGTTTAAAAAATGCAAAAAGCATAATTACACAATAGAAATATGTTGAATGAAAACTGCAGTTCATTAATGACGCACAACATTTAAATTATTAATCGAATCTTAAATCTTTTCACTTTTTTAAAGTCGGAATTGCAGCAACTGTTTAACTATATGTGACCATAAGAAGCCATTAGATGGGTTCAAATTACTAATTATTAATCCTGTTTCAGCGTCATATGACGTTAATTGTGTTGGTGTGCCGTTAAGCCAAACAAAACAAAAGCCAAACAAAAAAAATCACGTGGTATAGACACCATTCTTAAAATATCCTCCTTAAATGTTAGTAAATACTGTATGCATGTTTTAAAAACGTGAACTTTTGCATTTAATTCTTCGTTTTGTGTTTAAGATATAATTATACATTGTAAATAGTTTGTGCCATTTTCATATTTTGTGCCAAAAAATGCATTTTAGCTTTTTGCTTTTCTTTGTAATTCAAGTGTATGAATTGTAGCATTTTGTTGTACAAATGAATTTTTGCTTGTTTTTTTTTCTCAGAATTATCTTGTAAAGGGTTTTTCGTACATTCCTTTGTAAAGGTTGTTCTGAAACTATGTAGTTAGAATATATAAATGTATATTCATGTATGTATTCATATGAAATATATAATGATAATGTTCTATCTTATCTGATGGGGTTTTCAAAGGTCCTTTGATTCATTCTCTATTTCTTTGTTAGAATGTACCGTAAGAAATAAAATGGGCCAAATAATATGCGCATTTGGCCTTTTAACATAGACAAATTTATAATACTGCACGTTTTGTAACGTCGCCTTTTCATTGGATAATCATGGCCATTGATATATTTTATATACCACGGACTTGATGTCAATTGATTAAGAAAATATTAATTTTAATTAGAGTGGCCTTTTTTACAGAATGCTCATTATTTAATTTAGGATTTTTTTTTTACACAAGGTTTGGGACTGTACATGGAATTAATGTTTATTTTGGCCAGTATGTTTTGTGTTAGCTTTTAAGTCAAGAGATGTCAAGAGAAAAAATTTTTGTGCAAATGCATATCAACGTTTGTGTATTTTTGCTAATAAACATATTAAAAAGAACAAACTTGTACTGTTTTACTTTACTCCTTGATGTAAGTTGATGTGCTGTTACAGCAATCTTTGCTGCAATGTCCCGTCACAATGTCGGTTTATAAACATTATTTCTGTTGAATTAACAAACTCATGGAATAGTAGGCTTAAAGCACTCAGGATTTGCAACTTTTAACTTTCAGTCATTTTGAGGGTATTCATCCTTTGCCTACCTTATTCATCGATCATTACACGGTTAGGTATTTAAGTTATGAAAGCTTGCATATGTTTCATAAACATTAAACCAAGCACATAAGAACTGTAACTTTTCACTTAATGATTTGAGTAATGGTCCTTCGGCATCAGTTAAGACAAAGTACACTTTGAACTTTATTTAATAATTAACTGGTTTGGAATTAGGTGACAATTTGCATGAACCATAGAAAAATCATTTGAAATGTGTAACCTTTTCAGTTTGAATTCTATAAATCCATACAAAAAGTAAAAAATACTAGCTGAACAATTGGAAATTATACACCTTTTCTTTTGGTCAAGCACTGATAATAGTCGAGTGCGAAGTCTTATAGACTGAAAGCTCTTGTTAATCATATATGAATATCAAATTTTTTATATGCAGCGGTGATCATTTTGGTAGGTTGAAACATTAAAAAAAGTTAAGTTTATTTTTACTTTGTCTATTACTATTATGGTATGCATGTATTCTGGAATTTTGCTATGTTTACAGTGTGAAGGTGTTTCGGGGGACGGTTACAGTGGGCGTGTCTCCCCCCATACTCATCATGAGATATACACTGGTCTTGATGTAGCCAGGGGTAAACAGGTAGCCCATATTCCTCTAGGAAATTATACCTGTTTAATACTCTACCTATATGTTATATTTACTTGTTTTTTTTTCTTAAAAAACTGTTTACTTCTTTTAAATGTTTCTGGGCTGTTTTTGTGTTGTTGTTTTTTGTTATTTTATTATATGTTTTGCTTAAAATTAGGCATAATATTGAGACTTACGTTAAGACTTCGTTTTGAAAGTTGAAGACGGAACAGAAAAAAATCTGAATCAAATTACTATCAATAATAGTATTTACTGATATCTTAGGAAAAGAAACATTTAAAGGAGGTACATACTTTGCTTTGTGCAGGGATTCAGTAAAAACAGTTCAGGCAGTGACATGTGATTTTGAAATTAAACCAAAAAAT